GCCTTTGGCTTTGATCTTTATGTCGTCATTGTCTTCAGGAATAGTGCCAGAAGACTGGAGACTAGCAAATGTTGTCCCCTTGTTCAAGAAGGGGAGTAGAGACAACCCTGGTAATTATAGACCAGTGAGCCTTTCCCTGCTATGCAGCATAACATAACATGCTGCCATTGTTCAATGTGGGAGACATTGGAAAGCCTTCAAACAGGTGAAATGTTTGCTAGTGTGCTGCTTAATAAAAGTTAAGAAAGAAATAAACAAATGAAAAGATTTTTCTCTTGAGCAACAACAAATTTCAAGTCAATGAATGATCACTGTACCCAGCTCACATCCATTGGATCCAGGTGTCAAATATGTCCCATCTGACTTGTGCCTGATGCCACCTTGTTCTTTCACACTGAAGACAATGTGCAATCCTGCATAATGTCCTTATTTTCCTCCTCAGAAGGCTGCTGCTACTCTCCAAGATCCTCAGCATCCATCACATTCCCTCTATGCCTGCCTCAGTTGTGCAAAGCACAGCATGCTAGGATTCAGTAGCACATTATGTCTGGAATGTACTACAGGGGTCCCCAGAATGATTCAAAAATTTGAACTTCATCTTCAGGATGCCTATCATCTGCTCCAGATTGGCCCTGATGAAAGAATGAGCTGCAATGTTTGGCCTCAGTCAGGGGTTTATGCAATGGAGTCATCAGCCATGATTGTAGACACAGCCATGGTCTCCCAAGAACTATCCTTGTAAGGGATCTGGCTCTTGAAACAGTTCAGTGGTGGTGTTTTGAGACATTTTCAGTCTGCAATGGCACTGTGCCTTGCTCATCTGGAAGAAATAGCATGAAGGACGATAGACTCTGGGCCTCCTGCACCTCCTCTGCAACCTGAGAGGCACTTCAGATGTAACGTCTTCATGTGTACTCTGTTTGACAGCTCTTGGAAGTTGGTACTGGTCCTGGATTTCCTAGTGCGTCTGTTCCGGGTCAATCTCTCTCCTCCTTCATTGCAGTGTGGCCCAAGAGTGATAATGACCCCTGCAGTGGCTGAAGCACCCAGTGAGGGATTGGGGTAATGCTGGTGATGAAGGGGGTGGGGGTGATGTATGGGGGTAGGGTATGTGAGGGTCACTCCACTGCCTTTGCCTCCGGGAGCCTACAACGCCCACTCCCACATTATTCGTCTGTGATTTAGGTCTTCCTAACATGCTGGGACTCCAGGGGAATGTTATTCCTCCAACAGGCACAGCCCTTCTCTGTGGTGCTGCTGAGTACAAGAACTGCTGGCCTCTGACTGACTGACAGCTCTTGCTAGGAAGGACTTCAGCTTCTGGGGTTTTGAATTCAGGGGAATGGCATCGGCACTGTCTGGCTGAATCGTAGTTCAGCAGACTTTCCTGAAATCTTGCTGATTCTTCCGCAGCAGGTGAGACCCCAGATGCCACAGCAAAATTCTGCTCAGTGGTCCAACATACCGGACTAAATTGTTTAAGGCATTTGATTGACAATAAAAAGTCAATATTCATTGTTGTAACCAGTGAGCAGAATAGTTTATGACTTTAACTGGAATCTGTTTTTGAGGGATGAATTCCTGCCAAAATGAGGCCTGGGTATTTTAACTCACAGGTTTGTTTTAAATGCTGCCATATAGCATCCCACATGTTCATGTAACCTGAACTCATCCTAAATTACTAAGAGTGGGTAACTGCATAGGGTTCAGATCCCGCCTGTCCTGGGAAGACAAGGAGATAGCCTCCTGGAGTTTCTTCTGGCCCTGATTCTGTTACTCATTGGATAGCTTCAGCGGGACCACATTTTCAGAGTCCTAGATGGGGTTCAATGATCATCATCTTCTTCCCTACCAACTTTTTACAATTCAAAGTTCTGCTGAAATTGTGAAAACTGTTACCCAGGACAGTTTTGATAGATTATGTTGAACTTGCTGGTGATATGATATATTAGTACAAAAGATGGTAATCAATAGAAAGTCATGAAAAGAAATTTAAAAAGTACAGAGTGCATTGTTCATGCTTTGAAGAAGACCAAATTGTTCTAGCATGCCTTGTAAATCCTGTTCACAAGTTCTTAGTATTGTAAAGAATAGAACTCAGACACTTGCAAGTTACATTACTCGCCTAACAGAAACTCAAGCAGGTCAGCAGGTAAAATCTCTGAAGTCAGTTATGGTCCCATCAGCCACTGAGAACTGAGCTGCTGGGAAGTTTGGCAAGGGCAATCAGTCAAAGCTTATGTTGTGCACTTTGGGACTTTGACATTAGCAGAGTAGATGCTCAGTATACTCTCAGAGACTCATATTTTTATTTCTTTTTTGGGATATACGTATCACTGGAAAGATCAACATTCATTCCTACTGTCGTTTCTCTAATCTGAATGGTTTATTAGCCCACTTTGGATGGCAGTTAGTCACATAGGTAAGGAACTGGAGTTACATATAGGCGAAGAAAGAAATTCTATGTTTTGAGCCATAGTCATTTGATTTCCAATAACAGTCCAATAACTAGCTTATACCAGCTTTTAATTTCCAAAACTTTGAAACTGTATTCAGATCATTAAGCTGTCATGAAGGAAACTGAACTCACATTTCCTGGACTAATCGTCAGTACATTAAAATAGTGTGGAGAGCTGTGGCGTGCTGTTGGTCATGTTCAGGAAGTCAATAACTATAGGTGATTCAAACAGATTGGAATGAGACAAAAATAATTTCCATATACAACAATCAAATCTGTTAACTACAGACACATTAAATTGACCACAACTAATAAAATTAATGATCATAAATGGAATGCTTGAGAAAAATTGAATAAAATACAGGTGATTAGAATGTAGGAGGGGTAGACCCTGCCAAATGAATTTTACAGATGCCTCAGAGGAGAATCTATCCCATAATATCAAAGGCAGTTCATACAGTACATCGTATGCACACTTCCTAAAACCCTTGGATTAGGTGCTGAATGAGAGGTCTTATCAAAAACTAATATTATTGGGTCCCAAGGCTAAGTTGATTGATCTATAAATGACAAAAGGAAGCAAACTGTAGTTGTAAGTGAAACTTGATCAAGATGTTAGAAGGAATTTAACATAATGCCATGGCTAATATACGAATATCTCTCCTGTTCCTGATTTGCATGAAGAATCTGGATTTTCCATCTTAATGCACACAGTTAATTTTGCAAATTACGTTAAACTAGACATTCAGAGAAGGCAATAAAATTGAAAGAACTGTGGATACTGTAAATCAGGAACAAAACAAAAGTTGCTGGAAAAGCTCAGCGGGTCTGGCGCCATCTGTGAAGAAAAAATCAGAGTTAATGTTTCAGGTCCAGTGACCCTTCCTCAGAAGTGATGGTGACTGGGAAAACATCAGTTTATATACAGAAAATAGGGAGGTGGGTGAGGTAGGGAGTAAACGATAGGATAGAACCAAAGAGAGAGAAGAGCAGTTGGATAGACAAAGGAGTTGATAACGATCTGGCTAGGAGGAACAACACCTCATTTTCTGCTTGGGGACCCTGCATCTTTCCAGACTCAATATCGTGTTCAATAATTTTAGGGCCTAAACTCTCCCATGTCCTAGCCCCCTACCAGGCCTTGTTATCACACAGCCTGCCATTACACACTACCTATTGTCAGTCACCAACAGTCCCCATTAACAACTATTCACCCCACTAGCCAGATCATTATCAACTCCATTATCAACTGCTCTTCTCTCTCTTTGGGCTCTATCCTATTGTTTACTCCCTACCCAACAACCCTCCCTATGTTCAGTTCTGGGGAAGGGTCACCAGACCCAAAACAATAACTCTGATTTTTTCTTCACAGATGTTGGCAGAGCTGCTGAGCTTTTCCAGCAACTTCTGCTTTTATTCAGAGAAAGCAGCTATGTCTTTACAAAGTGGCCCCAACAGGTTTCGGCTGATTAATAGGAAATAAGGTTCAATACAAACACATACAACGTTTTACATGTTGGAGTAAAATTGTCTGATAGGTAATTGACTTACCACTTCAGTAATACCTAACAGCATTACATAACAAAGACACCGGATGCTGGATATTTGCCACTTCAGTTTTCAGAGGTAATGCTGAAATTATTCAGTACTCTGGTCAGGCTGCAGCTGAGATACTGCACATGGTTCTGATCCTGGAGACACAAGAAGTGTTTCCACATTTTAAAAGTGGTGTAAACAAATAAAGCTGTTTCTCCATGACAAATGAACAAATTTTAGCTTCTCAATAACTAGGTAGGTTTTAGCTCTTTAGCCTTGAAAATTATGTCTCAAGATATTTTAGAAATAGAAATATGTACAAATAGAAAACAAAAGTTGGATAATACTTTTGCTACGTTAAGGATATATCAGGGTAGCAAAACAAGAAGGCGAAGTTGAAAGTTGTGAACAGCATGTTTAAAACAGACATCAAAAACTATTTCTTTACTCAAGAGATGGTTGTCAACTGATGTCGGTTGTCATAAATGGCATCACAATCTGCAAGATACTTCCAACGTATAGGGAGAAAGCAGGAACAGGGTATTAAGTTGGATGCTCAGCTATGATCATATTGAATAGTGGAGCAAGTTCAAAGGGTCAAATGGTCTACTGCTGTTCCTAGTTTCTATGTTGGCAATCAATGAAGCATCCAGATTTAGAGCTATGTCACCATTCCTTCAGTGTCACGGGGTCAATGTGAACTCTCCCTAACAATATTGTGTGTGTAACTATGCCACATGGACTACAGTGGTTCAAGAAGGCAGCCTCGTCACCACGTTCTCAAGGGAAATAAGGGAAGGGCAATAGATGGTGTCTTAGCCATCGCTGCTGACATTCTGTGAATGAAAAGAAAAGACCAAGGCCAAGAAATTGAACTCACTTAAGAGATATGAGATTATTAGATTGAAAGACAGTTAGATTAACATTGTAGTAAAATTAAATTAAATACATAGACAGAAATATATCTTTCATGTCAACCCAATTTGTAATTTCTTGTAATCTGATATCATCACCAATATATAAGGTTTAAAATAAAACAATTCCAAAGTGTGTAATAAGAGATAACAAGGTTTAGAGCTGGATGAACACAGCAGGCCAAGCAGCATCATAGGAGCAGGAACTTGAATAAAACCAAAAATGTTTTTTTTTCAACCTGTGTGTCTGTTGCATTATGATTTTGGGTATTGTTTATCACAGAACCAAGATGCTAATCACTCAGGTTAAGGAGGATTGTGCACAATTCATTTCCCACAGATATGATTCAGCAAATGCAACCCCCATGCAAAAAGTCAGTTGTTTAAAATTTATCATTCTGAACTGGTACATTATTGATTTATCTAAACACTCTAATACTTATTTCAATTGTTACGTTAGATAGAAGTTTTTCTTTGATACTGATAATGGAATAAAATTGTACAACAACAGTGCAAAATTTATTACATCCTCACTGGTTTAATCTCTTCAACCTAGTCCCAATAAAAAAGATTTGCAGTGCAGTTTTGAAAGCTATTTCACTTCCATGTTGATGCTCGCTATGCGGGTTTCTGTGATGGATCCTAATGTCTGTAGTCTTCTCCAGATCCCCAGTCAGGAATTTCATGGCTCTGGTGCTCTTCCCCAGTGACCCGATTTCCACGGCTAAAAACTTTCAGCTGCAGCTCTGCAATGTCATTTCTAATGTCTGCCAACATCAGAAGCAAGAAATCAAAGGAGCCTGGTGGACCCTGCAATTAACAATTTCAAAATTAGTTCTGAAGTTCAATCTAATTTCAGTTTGAATTTCAGTAAGTCTGAACTTTTGCAAAAAGCACTTGTGGAACAGTTGTTACAACTATTTACTATTTATAACAACACAAGAAAGCTTGAGGAGTGAGAAAAGGACATTCAACCTGTAACATTGTTGAGTTTCTTTTACTTTTTTGTTACTTAATTGTTCATTGTTATGGAGTGAAAGGACAACACAGGATTTTTAATATATGTCGGCCTTGCTTATCACACTCATATCCTGAGGATGAATCCAAAAAAAAGAAACACCAAACATTTACTGATTTTATTAGCATTGCACTGAGTACACTCAATGTACAGGACAAACAGAATGGGATGAGTCTTGCATTTTTTGCTGTTAGTTTCATTTGAGTTTCATGAACAGTTTCTCTCTGTGAGGCCTACCAAGTTTTCTGGCCACATTTTACCATACCCACATCATTAACCATATTTTCCACCTGATGACACCCCTCTTGTCTAAGTCTAGCCCCATTCTATAGCTCACTGTACTCACAGCAACTCATCACTGCCAGGATATCCTAGAATGCCTGGCATCCCTGGTTCCAACACTGTCTACAAAAGGTTGCTTGTTCACCTGGACAGGCGCTGTCAGTCTAAAGCTGGTCTGCACTGTTCCTGACATTCGCCCCCAACATGACAGAGAAAGGAAAGTTGGTGCCCTGCTTTTAAGACAGGGACCTGAAGGTCCTGCTGATAGGGTGGTGCTGGGCTGGGATGACCTTGTCCCCCAAGACCAGGAGACGAGGCCACAACACCAGACCATCCCTGGTTAGAGGCTGCCACCCAGGTCACTGCTGCCTGGAGGGAATCCCCAGCAATGTAGGAGCTCTGTCAATGTGAGTGCCACCATCTTGTCTCCGATACCTTACAGTCATGGCTATTTCTGCTACTGTACCCACCTTCCACCCAGGCTCATGCTCTACCACTCTCATGACTGACTGCAACGTCCTTCCTCACTGTCACCCATCCCCAAGCCTGAACAAACTGATGCTGCACGCTAGGGTCCAGTACTGAGGAAGGGTCACCGGATCTGAAATATTAACTCTGATTATTTTCTTCACAGATGTTGCCAGACCTCCTGAGCTTTTCCAGCAACTTCTATTTTTGTTCCTGATGCTGCATGCTCTCTGTTTTGCCTACTCCTTCCCTCAGGATGCTTCCCCACCTGTATCAAAGTCACAGTTATGCTGAATTTCATCTTTCTTAACACCTTCTTCTCTCTCATTCCAGGAAGGAAACAGCCCACAGTAGGACAGAAAGAGTCAAGACAGTTTCTGGGTTATGAGGTGAGCACCCTGCCTCTGACTGTTCAAGTGGCTGACTGACCATGTCCAAGCCCCTGAACTCATATCTGAGGTTGCCCTTAACTTACTGTGCCAGGACTCCCTGACTGAAAACTATCTCTATTGACTGAGACCTACTGGCAACCATCACAAGCTTCCTGCCTTTGTGCCTGCACTAAACAGCATGGCCAGACAGAATAAACTGAGCCTAGTATCTGACAGGTAAGACACAAAAAGGCAAAGCAAGGATACTTTGAGCACCCAGATATGCTCAAGATGAGTGAACAAACGGTACTGAGATGCTGACTGGTCCAGTCCATGGGTTGGGTTTCTTTCCCTGAATGCAAAATGTGCTTGTTGTAGTGAGGAGAGTTGCTGTCGCACACTGAAGTGCAGAAGTGTCCTGTAAGTGGATTGAAGATGCACCAGGAAGGTTCTTAGACACTGGCATATATCAGATGCCAATGTCTATGGATGTGGGATGAGTATGGTTGGAGCCAATGGAGCTGCCCTGAGATGTTGGTGAGTGGTGTCCATGATGTACAGGTTCATTGGAGACAGCAGTGAGCTGAAGTCACCAGGTACCTGCTCTCCTCCACATCAAGAATCCCCAGAATCTAGTTTACTCATGGTGCATGGTAGAATAGAATGTTATACGTCAATAAGGTGAAATTTATGTTAATAATTTTGTTCCCAAGCAATAATCCCCCTTAATAGGAAACCTGGCACCTCCTAGCAAGAATCTTGCCTTGACACTCAGAACCTTGTTCAAAAAATGCATAAGTCATTCCTAACAGCAGGATAGGCCTTCTGTGTGATTCTATAAGACTATAATGTGACTTTAATAATGGCTGATATGTTTTTCAACCCCATTATCCTGCCTTCTCCCCATAATCATTGATCCACTTATTAATCAAGAACCTACCTATGGCTGTCTTAAATACACTCAGTTTGACCTCCACAGCCTTCTGCGGCAATGAATTCCACAGATACTCCAACCTCTGGCTGAAGAAATTCCTCCTCATCTCAGTTCTAAAGGGTCATCCCTTAACTCTGAGGCTGTGCCCTCAGACCTTAGTTTCTCCTACTAGTGGGAACATCTTCTCCACAACCACTCTATCCAGGTCTTTCAGTATTTGGTAAGGTTAAATGAGAAATTCCTTCATCTTTCTAAAGTCCATTGGGTGAAGATTCAAAATCTTCAGCCACTTCTTATATGAAAAGCCCTTCATCTACAGGATCATTTTTGTAAACCTCTTCTGAACTCCCTCCTTCACCAGCATATCCTTCCTTAGATATGGGGCCCAAAACTGCTCACAGTTTGACCAGAGCCTTATACAGTTTCAGCATTAAAATCCTGCTCTTGTGTCCTAGCCCTTTTGAAATGAATGCTAACATTACGTTTGCCTTCCTCATTGCCAAATGAACCTGCATGTTAACTTTAACAGAATACTGAACTAGGACTCCAAAGTCTCTTTGTGCTTCAGATTTCCGAAGCCTTTCTCCATTTAGAAAATATTCCTACGAAAGTGCACAACCTCATACTTTTGTACATTGTATTACAACTGCCACTTCCTTGCCCACTGTCCTAGCCTGTCCAATTTCTTCTGCAGCTGCCTAGCTTTCTCAACGCTATCTGTCCCTCCATCAATCTCAGTGACATCTGCAAATTTAACAATAATGCCCTCAGTTTTTTCGTACAGGTTGTTAATATATAGCGTGAATAGTTGTGGCTTCAAAACAGACCACTGTGGAATTTCACTAATCACTGGTTGCCATTCTGTAAAACATCCCTTTATTCCCACTCTCTGCCTTCTGCCAGTAAGTCAATCCTCCATCTATGCAAGTACCTTGTTTCTCACACCATGAGCTCTTAACTTATTTAGCAGCTTCCTGTGCGGCACATTGTCAGAGGCCTTCTGGAAATCCAAATAGATCATGTCCACTGACTCTCCTTTGTCAAACTTGCTTGAAGATGAGATTTCTCATTATAGCCCATGTCCTTCAGGCCTCTATATGGGTTCAGCCCTCAAGTCTCATACAAAAGCAGATTTAAAACCAAAAAACACTTTGGTGCTGCTGGTAGTAATGGAGGATCATACCCCATAGAATATTTCACTTGTTTTGAATATAAGTACACAATGGGGAATATCAGTTGTCTTATGTTTTAGCCAACACCTCAAGATTGTGAAGGGTCCTGTCAGAATTGGGGCTGCATGGTTGAAGTTCAATTCCTCTGCTCCCCCTCAGGACATTAGGAACCATTAAACTGTTACTCCAGTTGACCTCCTTTCATAATTATATGCATCAAAATATCGTGTAATTTTATGAGAAACTTAACATTTGGCCTGTCCTTTCCTTTTAATATGTATTTTTTTAAATTGCACAGAACATGCAAATTAAACAGGTTTTACTTACAGGTGATCCCCTTGGTCCTGGAGCACCTCTCTCACCCTGTTATGGGACAGAATAATGATTAGCACTGTCTTCAGTTTTCCGTCATCTATAAAATTTCTGCCATTATTAAATAGAAGGTACAGGTGCGGAACATCGAACTTGAGACTTCCTCAACTCTTTCTCCCTTAATTTTCTACAGATTGAAACGTGCATGGCCTTCCAACATGTTAGGACTTGGAGTAGAGATCAGCTGATTGTGCGCCAATTGTGAAAATCGACACTCAATTTGAATATCACTACTTCTGGCTTAAATGGTAGCGGATTTGGGGCCATGTGTGTAACATGCTCCAGCAAAGTGAGTCTGCAGCTATGACATTGAAATGACATACCATTCCACAAGTTTTGAAAGCCATTTGAATTTAGCAAAAATGGGCTCGGTTTCCCTGCACTTGGGACACCCAGCAGCTGAAAGGAAGTGGGAGATGCTAGAAATTGTTTCTGCAGCGCAGCTAGTGGGCCAGGAGGAACAGGAGAGCTTTACCCGGCCCTTCAAGCAAATCGTTTGCTCTGATCATTCCCTTGCTGATTATGTCCGACATTCCACCCCTATCTTCCTAGCTGCAGGCTTCTCCTGCTGGCTTTCTGAACACAGCAGCCAGCCAGTCTCTCAATCTGGTCAGCTGATGGGCAGGAAGTAGGAGCAATAGGACTGTAATGAGTTCCTGCTGTTAAATTCGACAGGACTTCAATGTCTTCAACACTGCTTAGTTTTCTAGCAATACACATGTGCCTCTCCTCACTCACATAGTCTTCTAGCTACATAGCACGCTCTGCTGATAAGCAGTCTATTTAATCACTAAGGAGGTTGAAATGACTGATTTTCTCCTTCTGATAGCTGCATGCATATATTTTTGCAGTAGAAGTTATTGAAACATAATAATAAATGAAAACACAATGTGACTTCTTCATTTGCATCTCTAAAGAAAGGTCCACAAACGTACCTCTTACCTCCACCATTCTGATAGAACTGTTTATTGTTTCTAACATTTTCTAAATTTGTTTTAAATTTCTGGTATCTGCAATATTTTACAGTCTACTAATTTGACTCACCCTCCTCAGGTCATGTTGCCTACCTTAACTGAGATATACAGGCCAAAGATTAAAGTTAGGATTCTCCTGGTATGTCCAGTCTATTGCCACACCATGTATTATATTTAATCATTAAGCCATCAAGGACAAACAGACGTTTAACAACAGTCTATCCAAACTCATTGCACAATTTTACTAGCCAATGTTGGTGAGAGGATTGAGTGGAGTTTATGATTCTCTATCAGAGGGGTTGAAGGTTGGTAACCTTTCCACTGCCTACCCACATGCCTTGACCTGTCTGATACTTAACGGAGAGTACAGAAGGCATCTAATTGTCCACCTGACGTTAGTTCCATTGAGGGCCTTCAGTAGCCAGCTAATAGCCTCATGCTGCCCCCAGCCCCGACCAGTATGAGTAAAATACTGGATGAGGCCAAACCATGCAGGACATCCAGTAGCAGTCAATGTACCAGCTGGTATTGGGTATCGTTGGGGAGGGGGTGGCTTGTGATGGGGGGAAGCAGGAGGGGTCACTGGTGGCTGTTTTGTGGATCTCATGGGCCCATCACCAGTGCCATGCTCAAGGCCATCCCCTCCCTATATCACATTCCCTGGTATCTTAAACGTGGTTCTCTACCTCCTTCACTGAAATCCTAATCCTGAACTTAGAAACATAGACACAGAGAAAATATGAACCAGAGTAGGCCATTTGGCCATTTGGCCCTTTGCTCTGTCATTCAATACAATCATGGCTGTTCATCTAACTCATTACCCTGTTGCTGCTTTCTCACCGTACCCTAGACATCTGGCTTATCAGACTGGTGGGACCGCCTGCACTCCCAGCAGGGGCCATCACTCCCAACTAGCACTGTTGATCCAGCAGAGCTGCTACCAGCTGAGTGGGTGGCAGTTCACTGAGGCTTGGACTTTGTCCCAAGTTTGGGTGGGGGTGGTGTTGGGCCTTGGTTCCAGCCAATTAACACTGCATCCAGCATTAAGTTGTTTTCTGGTGAGGTATGTTAAATCATGGGTGGGTTTCACCCCTGACTTTGTCGCTAAGGGTATGGGGCCGTGTTACCATTTAAAATCCAGTCCAATGTGTTTGAACAATTCTACAAATAGCAACATCCCTTCCGATCCATATGCATTCGATTCTTGTACTTCATGCCTGAAAGTAAAGCCACACATCTGTTTCATATCATTTTCAAAGTATGTAATAGAATGTGAAATATTTTGAGTTTTCTCTGAAAGAAGTGAGGCGACACTACAGGCCATAAATCCACAACTTCCTTGACACTCTCCTTCCATAACTCCAGCAGGAATCCTATGGGAAGGACACAAATTAGATTGGACAGCAATTGCTAAAAGAAGGAACACCTATCAGATGCCAACACAGTATGGAGCTGTGAGGAATACAGCAGGTCAGGCAGCATCAGAGGAGTAGGAAAGTCAACGTGTCGGGCCGGGATCCACCTATTGGATGAGAAACTTTGATTGAAAATTTATTTAAGAGTTTTTGCAAATGCCAAAAAAGCATCCCCACAAAGGTTAAGTGATGTGCCCCGGAGTTTTTCCAGCACTTTGTGTTTGTTTCAGATTTCCAGCATCTGCAGATCCTTGCTTTAGTTTAGAATGTAAGGGGAGCTCATTGTCACCACAGTGATGGACCCTTTAGAAGGCTCTTGTTCAGTGACTTTGACATATGAGTGGCAACTTATAAAATTGTGTGTCAATGCAGAATCCTGTTTATTTGAGCACTTACTTCCTATGCTTCGCTGGCAGTGCAGTGTGACAAAAGATAATAAGAAAGAGAGAAACTTGCATTTATATAGTCTTTCACATTCTCAGGATGTCCTAAAGCAATTTGGAGCCTGTTCATTACTTTCTGATGTTTAGTGACCCTTGTAATATAGGAAATTGGGTGATCATTAAACTTTGACCAGTATCTGGTCTTTTCCAATGGTGAAAGCTGTGGTCACGTTAACAAAAAAAAAATGTTTAAAGACATTTTGGTATTTAGATACGATGCTCTTTTATGTTAGCACATGCCATGCCTACCTTGGCACCGTCTCTTCCAGAAGGTCCTGGTGGACCCTAAAATAAATGCAGTAATTGATAAAATCTCATGATCATCAAAGTAATGGCACCAGAGAATTATACACTACCAATAGAATGCAAATCCACAATCCCCAAAATACTTTAGACACAATGAACTTTGAGATCTCTTTTGCCTCCAGCCTCCAGAGTTTACAAAATGCCCAGTTATAAAAAATCCCAGCACATTCATTTTTTTCACTAGTTTTCCATCCTTTTACTCTCTTTCCTTGTAAGGGCTGATTTATCCTGGCGTGTAATTTGACAAATTAAAATTGATAAATGAAGAAACTCCTCCAAGTAGTTGAGATTCTTTACTGAGCTGAACCTATGATTATGGGAAGGCCATTTGACGATGAAGATGTTGCTGCCTTCATTCAGCACTTACACATTCTTTTAGTAAGGATCATTTGTTTTGCCTTTTAAGTTCCATTAGTCTTAATGAGGAAGTCAGTAGAGACAGGAGGAGACTCATAGGGGCAGCATAGTGGCGAGTCCTGTTGCCTTCACAGCCCCAGGGACCCAGGTTCAATTCCAGCCTCAGGTGACTGTCTGTGTGGAGTTTACACATTCTCCCCGGTCTGTGTGGGTTTCCTCTGGGTGCTCCGGTTTCCTCCCACAGTCGAAAGATGTGCAGGTTAGATGGATTGGCCATGCTAACTAGCCCATAGTGTTCAGGGATGTGTAGATTAGGTGGATTAGCCATGGGAAATGCAGAGTTACAGGGATAGGTCAGAGGTGTGGATTCTGGATAGGAGGCTCTTTGGAGAGCTGGTATGGACCCGATGGGCCAAATGGTCTACTTCAATACTGTAGGGATTCTATGACTTTGGCAGCTCTTATTGTCAATTCTTTATTTCTGTGCTGTTGATTGGATCACACTTCCCTGGATGCTCTGAACTCCATGAATATGTGAGGACTCTATCCACTCCTCACCACCACAGAATCCTAGAAAGAATATTGCACAGAAAGAGGTCACTTAGCCCTTTGTGTCTATTGTGTCACAAAAGCTGCCATTCTTTTTTTTTAATACATTCACGAGATGAGGGTGTTGCTGACTAGGCAGCATTTATTGCCCGTCCCTAATTGCCCAGAGGGCAGTTAAAAGTCGACCACATTGCTGTGGGTCTGGAGTTACATGTAGGCCAGACCAGGTAAGGATGGCAGTTTCCTTCCCTAAAGGACTTCAGTGAACCAGATGGGTTTTTCCAACAATCAACAATGGATTCATGGTCATCATTAGATTCTTAATTCCAAATATTTATTGAATTCAAATTCTACCATCTGCCATGGCAAGATTCAAACCCAGGTCCCCAGAACATTATCTGGGTCTTTAGATTAACGGTCCAGTGATAATACCATTAGGCCTTCGCCTCCCCATATCCTACTTCTAGCACTTAACCTGTAGCTTTGCAAGTTATAGCATTTCAGGTACAGATCGAGGTACATTTTAAATGAGTTGAGGATTTTTGCCTCCAACACTGAAGCAGGCAGTAATTTCCAGATAGTAGGAACTGCAGATGCTGGAAAATCTGAGATAACAAGGTGTAGAGCTGGATGAACACAGCATCCTGCTACACCTTGTTATCAGTAATTTCCAGATAGCAGCCATGCTCTTGATAAAAACATTTTTCTCCATGTCCTCCCTAATCCTTTTACTAATCACCTTAAATCTGTGCCCCCGGTAAGTGACCTTTCTACAAGAGGAACAGGTTTTTCCTGTTCACTTTATCTGGGCCCCTCAATATTTGGACACCTCAGTTCAGTCATTCCTTGGCCTCTGCTATTCACCACAATACATTTCATCTGTTAAAACATAAACATGCTTGTAAATAGATGAATATAATAAATCTGTGGAATAACTGCACACTGAATTAATAATAAGCTGATTATCTCACAATGAAATCAAATCAATGGCTGCATGCAACTTTTTGCATTATACTGTGTTTTACTGTCAGTTCCAGATTTGATCAGGGACTCTAGGCAGCCCATAATTTACCATAGATAACACAGTGTGGAGCTGGAGGAACACAGCACCACGCAGCTTCAGAAATCTAAAGAGTCCCGATCCAAAACATCAACTTTCCTGCTCCTCTGATGCTGCCTGGCCTGCTGCGTTCCTCCGGCTCCACGCTGTGTTATCTCTGACTTCAGCATCGGCAGTTCTTACTATCTCCATAATTTACCATGATGCTATTTGCACTCAGAATCACTGCTTGTTATTGACCTACTGTGACTCTACACAGTTGCTAATTTATAATTGATTTACCAATTCCCATAGAAAATGAAATATACTACAATGTATTTGACAAGCTTTGTTGCTTATTAAGTAATTGGGTGCAGCATATGTCTTGCAGGTAAGCTTTGCATTTCAGAAAAGAAGTACTGACCACTGCTCCTCTTTTTCCCTGTTTAATGTGAGATATGTCGGGTGAAGGGCCAATTGGTCCCATCATTCCTCTGGGTCCCGGTGGTCCTGGGGGTCCTGCTTGTCCCTTTGGACCAGGACTTCCTTTAGGACCTGGCAGGCCTGTGTAACATCAAATAAAAGCGTGTTCATATTGTATCACTTTGAAATAACATTTCAAAACTGCTGCTAAATGATCTTGCAATGTAGGTCAAGGAGTTGTATTAAAGACAATAAAAGAACACAGTAAGATGCTATTTTTTATTTTTATCATGGGGTTCCATATGAACAAAAATGTGAAGTTGCTGGAGATCTCAAATAAAACAGAACATGTTGGAGAAATTCAGTAAGTTCTGGCAGCATTGCTGGAGGGAGAAAACAAAGGTAATGTTTGAAGTTTGATATAATACTTCAGAACTGAAAGTGCCTGGACTGTGATTTTCTTTTCATGTTAACGAAATGGCAAGAAAAGCAATTAGAACAGATGGTGATGGTGCCTAGACCAAACAAACAAAGGGCGTGCAAATAATATTGGAGAAATATAGAGGGAAAATAGGTGCTAAATGGTAGGTGTGAACATTTTAAACTTGGTTGGCTTGCTGAAAGCAAATGCATGGAAACAAGACATGAGAAAGCGGAGGGGAAAGGTATGTAATCAAAATGGCGGACAGTGTTCATACTCTGAACTTGTTGAACTCTATGTTGAGTCCTAAAAAACTGTAACATGTCTCAGCAGAAGTTGAGACTCTGTTACTCCATTTGCACTGAGTGTCACTAGAACGCTGCAGCAGGAATGTTAGGATGACAACAAGATGATGACACCCTAGTCCAATCTTCCAGCACTCCTAACACTTCCTTACTCCCCTTTCACACGGTACTTTCCCAGAAGGGAAAGAAGGTGTAATATTTGCCCTCTATCTCTGCCGTCATTGTCTAAAGCCTCAAACACAACTTATAGGTGAAGCAACAATTTACCTGTATTTCTCTCTAGTCTCTGTATTCAATGCTCACATTGTAGACTCCTTTACTATGGTGAGACCAAATGCAGACTGGGTGACTGCTTTGTGGAACACCTCCCCTCTGTCTGTAAGAATGACTCTGAATTCACAGTGCATGCCATTTCAACACACCATCTTGCTGTCACACTAACATTTGTAACCAACTGATTGTTTTTCCCCACCCACTAATCAAATGTCGTTACATTGTTATTGAGTGGAGGTGGTGGCATAGTGGTAATAATCCAAAATTTCAGGCTTTAATTCTGGGAATGTGGATTTGATTCCCATCATGGTGAAATTTGAATTTAATGAAAAATTCTGAAATAAAAAAGCTTGTATCACAGTGACTTTGTAACCACTGTTATTTGTTTTAAAATAAAATACCTAGTCTTTTTAAAGAATGAAATCAGTCTTCCTTACTCAATCTGGCCTACATGTGACTACAGACCAACAATGTGGTTGATTCTTACCTGCCCTCTGGGCAATTATCAATGGGCAATATTTGCTGGCCTAACCAGTAACACTCAGATCCCAACAATGAAGGTAAATAACACATGCCACATCATCATTAAATAGATACAAGCTTTTTCCAATTTTCTCCACCTGTCTGCAAAAACAAAGAAATCTTGCAAGAGAGAAGCGGGGACAAAGGAATTTTCGGGACAAGCATAGAATTTTACATTCAATTGCTCCATCCCTTGGACATCAACCCCACTGAGCTGCCTTTTCTCATGTATAAGAAGAATGCAAGAATCTAAGAACGAGGTGTAAGCTATATAGTTTATCGAGCCAGTTCTGCAGTTCAATAAGATCATAGCTGATCTGATTTTGTACTCAACTCCATTTTCCTGCCAATTCCCCATAATCCTTGACTCTTAAAGTACAAGAATCATCAATGAACATGTTTTGTCTTCTAACCTCCCTGGGGTACAAAATTTCCAAATACATGTGGGCCTCTGCAGAAGTAATTCTTCCTCATCGCTGCCTCAAATGGATGACTACCTATTCTAAAGTTGTGTTTCATAAATCTAATTTTCTCCTTGAATGGAAACGTCCTCTCAATATTGATGTAAGCTTCGTAAAATATTTTGTCTTTTAAAATAAATCACATCTTCTTCTAAACTCCAATGAGTTTATTCTTCTTAACATTTACCCTTTCCAGAATGATAGTTGTCTTTTAAATCTAATTTTCACCACCAATTTCATTATCTTCCTCTAGTAACTTGTTTTACTCTGGTACTAATTGTTGAAAAAAGGTACTAATTGACTGTTCTTTTACTGTACTTTTCTGCTGTTAACTTGGTTTTCTAATATTTTTGAACCTTCCATCATGTGGAGGTTGTAAGGTTTGTTTCTTACCTGAAGGCCCTGGTGGTCCTTTCAGTCCGTAATTGTAACTGTTCGATGAAAATAACTTGTCACTGTTTGATCTTTGCTTACTAATATCAGCAATGTTGTTGGGCAGTAAAGTGATCTGAAGAAAAGTAAAATTCAAGGTTATGATAATTAAATGTTATGATCCCAACTGATGTTACTACTGGACAAAGTTAGATCCTAGAGAGAAATCTAGCTTGATAGATTATATTTTTATTTAATGAGGTGGTCTTTCACTGAAAAACATGCATGTAATTTTTGGGATTTTGTTTTAAAATAAAAGTTTATAACAAAAAAGTAAAGATGAAATAGAATAAACAAAACTATTTACATGTAACACAATTTGAAAGACTGAAAGATATGGTAAAGTTTGTTCCTATTGAGCCTATCAGCATCACTTTATGATAATCAAATAGCAGTAAGCATCCTCTTCTCTATCACATATATAGATTTGAATTTATACATATCTTTCAATTCCTAATCTTAAGAATTTGATAGCCTCTTCCTTGATTATTCACATCACTGATCTTATACTTTATCAGCTTCAAATAACCCCTTCAGGGTTCTAACCAAATATTTCCATCGCAAATTTTAAACTAAAACCCTTACACCGTTCTAGCCTATTTATGACTGTTATTAACTAACTCCTTTTTTCAGGCGGAACTGTTTCTGGCATCTAACTTTCACCATAATCTGTACAAACATAAGCCAGAGCTTTCTAAGCTATGACACTTTCCCTTACACAAAAAAAATTGTTCTTCTAAACCAATAGCAAGCTGATGCTTTTTAGTATTTACTCTATCAAATCCTGTTGCCCCAGAAAATTGATGCAAATCTGCATAATGTTGCTGGAAACTGAGTTAAGATTGTTCTTCTTCCTTTAAGTTCCAATGCAAATAATTTCCCATTATTACTCCACAAAATCTCTCATACATTTTTTTTAAATCCAGCAATACTGACAAGTTAATTATTAAATCCCCTCACACACAAGACCAGAGCCCACATGCCACCAGTTCAAAATCCAAAATCAAAATGAAATGCTCCTAGTAGAATCACATTACTTTATATCAGATACTATGTGGATCTGTTATTAAAACTGAATCCATAAAGATGCTATGATGTAATGATGGGTTTTAAGCTAACATAAATTGTTTTTCCTCCTCACCCGTCCTAGAGATAGAAATTGTCCCGTTGGGCAGGCGCAGCATGGTTCATGAAGGGCAGGTCATGCTTGACAAATCTTTTGGAATTCTATGAAGACATTACGAGCAAGGTGGACAATGGGGACCCAGTGGATGTGGTGTACCTAGATTTCCAAAAGGCCTTCGACAAGGGGCTGCACAAGAGGCTACTGCATAAGATAAGGATGCATGGCGTTAAGGGTAAAGTATTAGCATGGATAGAGGATTGGTTGACGAACAGGAAGCAAAGAGTGGGGATAAATGAGTGCTATTCTAGCTGGCAGTCAGTGACTAGTGGTGTGCCTCAGGGATCGGTGTTGGGACCGCAATTATTTACAATTTATATAGATGATTTGGAGTTGGGGACCACATGTAGGGTGTCAAAGTTTGCAGATGACACTAAGATGAGTGGCAGAGCAAAGTGTGCAGAGGACTGTGAAACTTTGCAGAGGAACATAGATACATTGAGTGAGTGGGCAAAGGTCCGGCAGATGGAATACTATGTAAATAAATGTGAAGTCATACATTTTGGTAGGAGTAATAGTAAAAAGGATTATTACTTGAATGGTAAAGAGTTGCAGCATGCTGCTATGCAGAGGGACCTGGGTGTCCTTGTGCATGAATCACAGAAGGTGGGTCTGCAGGTACAACAAGTAATTAGGAAGGCAAATGGAATTTTGCCCTTCATTGCTAAAGGGATTGAGATTAAAAGCAGAGAGGTTATGTTGCAGCTGTACAAGGTGCTGGTGAGGCCACACCTGGAGCACTGTGTGCAGTTTTGGTCTCCTTACTTGAGAAAGGATGTACTGGCACTGGAGGGGGTGCAAAGGAGGTTCACTAGGTTGATTCCGGAGTTGAGGGGGTTGGCTTATGAAGAGAGATTGAGTAGATTGGGATTATATTCATTGGAATTCAGAAGATTGAGGGGGGATCTTATAGAAACATATAAAATTATGAAGGGAATAGATAAGATAGAAGTAGAGAGGATGTTTCCACTGGCAGTTGAAGCTAGGACAAGAGGGCATAGCCTCAAGATTAGAGGGAGCAGATTTAGGACTGAACTGAGAAGGAACTTCTTCACCCAGAGGGTTGTTAATCTATGGAATTTCTTGCCCAGTGAAGTAGTTGACGCTACTTCAGTAAACGTTTTTAAAGATAAGATAGATTTTTTTTGAACAATAAAGGAATTAAGGGATATGGTGAGAACGCGGGTAAGTGGATCTGAGTCCATAAAAGGATCAGCCATGATCTTATTGAATGGCGGAGCAGGCTCGAAGGGCCAGATGGCCTACTCCTGCTCCTAGTTCTTATGTTCTTATGTTCTGGAGATGTTGACTTTAACTGAGAAAGAGCTGTAATCATGTCAATACCTCATATTTTCCATGCAAAAGTCTGTAAAGTATATAATGATAGGTTATAACTGATAGAATGGCTTTTTTCCCCCAAATACATTAGTGCTGAAGATAATTGCATCTTTCCTGCCACCTGGCTAAACTTAGTTCAGCTTGACCAGGAACTGGATCTGGCATCTATGGCAGTGCTATGACTCATCATTTTAAAGGGTGGCATGTACAAATTACTGGGGGAGAAACTCAGTTCCCTAGTGCCATTTTGTAGAATTATGTCTATTCCCTAGGGGTTGGCAGCCCTATTGACTGCTCCCTGAATGCTTCCACCACATTCTGCACTGGCATTGGGGGTTCATGTCCATAGCTCTCTGAAAGTAGCCACACAAGTCGATAGGGTGGTAAAGAAGGTGTATGGCAAGCTTGCCTTTACTTGTTGGGGAATTAAGTACAAGAGTCAGGATGTCATGTTGCAGGTTTATAAGACTTTGGTTAGGCTACATTTAGAGTACTGCATTCAGTTCTGGTTGTCACATTACAGGAAGGATGTGGAAGCTTTGGAGAGGGTGCAGAAGAAGTTTACCATGATGCTGCCTGGATTAGAAGGTATGATCTATAAAGAGAGGCTAGAAAAACTTGGATCAGAGATAGCAGGAACTGCAGATGCTGGAGAATCCGAGACAACAAGGTGTAGAGCTGGATGAACACAGCAGGCCAAGCAGCATCATAGGAGCAGAAAGGCTGATGTTTCGGGCCTAGACCCTTCATCAGAACCGAGGCGCAGGCTGAGGGGAGATGATAGAAATTTATAAAATTATGAGATGCATAGATAGGGTTGGAGATCAGAATCTTTTACCCAGAGTTGAGATGTCTAATACTAATGGGCATGCATTTAAGATTAGAGGGGAAAAGTTCAAAGGAGTTGTGAAGGGAAAGCTTTTTACACAGAGAGAGGCAGGAGTCTGGAATGCATTGCCAGGGGTGGTGATGGAGGCATATACTATAGGGGCGTTTAAGCACATGAATATGTAAGGAATACAGGGATATGGACCAATGGCAGGCAGAAGGGATTAGTTTCACTTGGCGTCATGCTCTGCACAATATCATGGTCCAAAGGGCCCGTTCCTGTGCCGTACAGTTCTATGTTCAATGATAGCAAGGAGGGAGGTGTCAGCAATTTTTGGTGCTACCAGATTCAGAGAACTGATGTAAATCTGCATAATGTTGCTGGAAAATGAGTTAAAATTGTTCTTCTTCCTTTAAGTTTAAAATATTGAAAACTGTTTTAATGTTCTTAACAGTTTTGTATCAACACATTTAGGTCACTGAGAGAAGCCAAAACAGTATTAAAATTGTGCTGGTCCCAATATTTTTATTGTTACCAATTTCTGTAAACTACGCAAAAATATTCTTTAATAAGGAGCACTTAACACATTGGAGGAATAAACATTTTCAATTCAATAATCTCTTTACCTTCTGTTTTAACTGCAGCACTGCCTGTTTTATCTGTTGGATATCCTCACAGGTTGTGGAACAGGTACCAGCTTTCATCACAATGTCAGATTTTATATACTGGCCCGCTACAACCAAAAAAGTCAAAATGTCTTGTTAATTTGTAAATATTTTCACTTAATGATTTTAGATATTTTTAATCTCTAGATTATGATATCCAGCAAAACCCAACTGACCAGTTTGTTTGTCTTCCGTTCTTATATGTGATGCCAATAACAATACTACTGTGTTGGCTATAAAGTTACATATGCAGCATGAGTAGTTTTAATATTTACTTTTGTGCACTATTAGTGTGGATCATTTCACCAACTAAATGACAAAAGTGATGCTGGTGCAAGAAATCAGGAGGTGATAATGGAACATTAAAAGTGATGCTGGTGCAAGAAATCAGGAGGTGATAATGGAACATTAAAAGAAACAAAAGGTGAGTCTGGAAGATTTAAAAATGACAGAAGCAGAATCAATACCAGCACCTGATGTTTGACAAAATGGGAGCAGTAATTATGATCTGAAAGTGTTGAGCTCAATAACAGGCCCAGTAGTGTGTAATAAAGAGTTGATGCACTGTTCCTTAACTTTCCATAGATCTTCAGTAGATCATGAGGGAAGCAGAGGACAAAGAGATCAGAGTGACCAAAGCATTGAAGTGACAAGAAGCAAAAGCTTAGGGGAAAATATGTGGAGAGGTTTGGAAGATTTCTCCACAAAACAAAATTTGTATTTGGTCTCTTAAATATGCAAAAGATCACATGTAACAGTTAATATCATATATTAATTTGAAAAACTACAATTAAATAACTGTTTTACCTGGAAAGTGCATTTGAAACTGGCTCAAGATCCTGGAACTCTCTCCCTAACTGCACTGTGGGGGCACCTGCTTCAAATGGACTGCGGTCCTAGAAGGCAGTGCACTGCCACCTTCTTAATGGTAATTAGGGATATCATTGCTCTGAGATGAAGGTAAAGAAGTAGAACAGAAGTACTGGAAATGGGATAAATGAGGTCAAGGGTCCTGTCACCATGGTGGAGGGGAATCATCAGTTGAAGTTTCCTCTCTCCTTCACATAGTGATGTAACTTCTCCATAAATGCATCGATGAGAATTACCTCAACTACTCCATTCGGAATCCACATTCTAGCCATTCCTAGACAAATTCCTGTATTGATTACATACAAACTAATTGATGCTTACTACCCATAGTCATATTTCTAATATGGAAAAAAAGATATAAATGATGGAGAGAAGTTGTGGACTAGTGATGCATAAAGAATTAGAACAAAGAACATAGAACAGTACAGCACAGTACAGGCCCTTCGGCCCACGAAGTTGTGCCGAACTTTTACCCTAATCCTAAAGTCTATCCCGCCTTCACCCCTACCTTATACTATCATCCATATATTTGTTTATCAAATGACAAGCTTTGTCTTGGTTTATGTCTGGAAATGATGGGCTATTGTTTAATTTGCTTCTTCAGGTAGGACACCTGGAATTACAGAGAGGTAAAGGCTGTTACGGACACAAATATAAATTGCCAGAAACATGGAAAATAATCTTCATGGTGCCAGTTTCAGTGACACATTAATATGGGGAGTTGAGAGCAAGGTCTTGCTTTTAACATTATAATGCCAACAGTGATCCACCCATTCTAATGGACTGACATCACCCTTAAGACTGGAAAACTAAAACATAAACCTCAACTATTTTCTTGGTTACTGCCTCGAGTGAAACCCTTAAACTGGTTCATGCAGTGAACTAAGACTTCCAGATTTTGCAATGCTGTTCAACAATACGTTACGAGAAACCAAAACTTTAGTAAATGAGCATTTGATAACTGCTGCATTTGTTGAAAGTTATACAGGATCCATTTTAGATAGGATTACACAAATGATACAATCTTTAAAATTAAAATATACAACTTTGTAATGGCTAGTCCAATCAAGGAAGCAGACATCATTTTTTTCTGCACCGCATCCACGCAATGAGGCCATCTTTCATGATAAGTTGTAAATAGGAATGCATTCCATACAACTGGTTAATTTCAGTTTATAAAAGTTAGTGCTCTTGGATAAAACTATTGTGAAGTAGTATATGTGTATATATAGGGCATATTGTGTATCAGGAAAGTGCCAAACTCCCAGTCCAACATGATTTGCAGTTGTACAAAGAAAACAAATTATTCTGGTTTGGAATTGTGGAAAAACACTGTCAACTTTAATACCACAGGAATACACAGGAACAGGGAATGTCACAGACACGAACATATTGTTTTGCCTTTTAATATCTGACAGTGTGGTTGATTTCAGACTTTAAACTTTCAGAATTAAGCATTCCTTGGGCACAGCATAGAAAGGAAACTTCGACAAGGAGGGAAACATACCCCAATGGACTGAGGTGGGTTTTTATTTATTCATTCAGATTCAAGGAATGCTAACAGCACAGAAGAAGGTCACTCATGTTTGTGCTTGTTCTCTCTGGACGCAAATTAGCTATTTCCATTCCATTGCCCTTTCCACATACAACAGTAATGTTTCCTCTTCAGGACCCCAAGCAATTTCTTTTTGGAAGCTACTTTTAGCTCGTCTTCCAACAAACTGTAAGGCATTGCATCTCAAATGCTAATCACTCACTGTCTGCAAACATTTTCCCTCATATCATTGTTAGTACTTTAGTGATTCACCTTAAATCAGTGCCCTCTCTTTCTCAATGCTTCAACTAATTTTTTATTCCTTTATTCATTCATGGGATGGGGGCATCACTGGCTAGGCAGCATTTATTGCCCATCCCTAATTGCCCAGAGAGCAGTTAAGAGTCAACCACATTACTGTGGGTCTGGAGTCACATGTAGGCCAGACCAGGTAAGGATGGCAGTTTCCTTCCCTAAAGGACATTAGTGAACCAGATGGGTTTTTCCGACAATTGGCAATGGGTTCACGGTCATCATTAGATTCTTAATTCCAGATATTTATTGAATTCAAATTCCACCCTTTGCCACGGTGGGATTCGAACCCAGGACCCCAGGGCATTATCTGAGTCTCTGGATTAACAGTCCAGCGATAATACCACTAGGCCATCACCTCCCCGATGGAAAAACTAATGGAAAAAAGTTATCCCTATCAAGACTGGCCAGATCTTTCAGCACTTTGAACCCATCTTTTCTATTCATTCATGGGATGTCGGTATCACTGGCTGGACCAGAATTTGTTGCCTGTCCTTATATGCCCTTGAGAAGGTGGTTGTAAGCTGACTTCTTGAACTGCTGTACTCCATTTTGTTTAAATAGACCCCCATGCTATGAGAGAGAAAGTTCCAGGATTTTGACAAAGCAATACTGAGGGAATGGTGATATATTTTTAAATCAGAACAGCGAGTGGCTTGGAGGGGATCTTGCAGATAGTGGTGTTTCCATGTATCAGCTATCCTTATTGTTCTAGATGGTACTGGTTATGAGTTTGGAAGATGCTAAGGAGCCTTGGTGAATTTCTGCAGTGCATACTTCAGCCGCTCAGCATTAGTTTTGAAGGCAGTGAACAGGTCATGCTTGTTCCCGTGAGTGAAAATTAGCTCATTCCACTGCCTTGCTCTTTCTACATGTAACAGTAATGTTTCCTCCTCAGGACCCCAAGCAGTTTCTTTTTGGAAGCTATAGAGTGGATGTGGTGCTAATCAAGTGGATTACTTTGTTCTGGATTGTTTTGAGTCAGGAGGAGTTACCTGCAGCTAAATTCTTAGCCACAATTTCTATATGGTTGGTTCAGTTCAATTTCTAGTCAGTGTTAAACCCCTAGATGTTAATCATGAGCAATTCAGTGATGGTGAAGGGGAGGTGGTTAGATTCTTCCTTGTTGGACATAGCCAATGCCTGGCACTTGGTTGACACAAACTATACTTGCCACTTGTCCAAATCATCAATGTCTTGCTGCATTTGGGCATGGAACCCTCAAGTTTTGAGGAGCCACAAATGGTGCTGAATATTGTATAATCAACAGAAAACATCCCCACTTTTGAACTTATGATAGAAGCTAGGTCATATATGAAGCAGTTGACAATGGTTGAACTGAGGACACTGTCCAGAGGAACTCCTGCAGAGATGTCCTGGTGCTGAGATGACTGACCTTCAATAAACACAGCCATCTTCCAATGTGCCAAGTATGACTCCACCAACTTAGAGTTTTCCTGCTGATTCCCAATGATTCCAGTTTTGCTAGGGCTTCTCGATGTCATACTCGCTCGAATGCAGCCTTAATATCAACAGCTGTCACTCTCACCTCCCCTTTGGAATTCAGCTCTTTTGTCCATGTTTGAACCAAGGCTGTAATGAGGTCAGGAGCTGAGTGGCCCTGGTGGAGGTTATATCTGAGCAGGTGTTGCTTGATAGCACTGTGGATGACACCTTCCATCACTGTACTGATGATCGAAAGTAGACTGATGGGCCAATAATTGGCCGGGTTGGATTTGTCCTTCCTTTTGTGTAAGACACACCAGGGCAATTTTCCACATTGTTGGGTAGATGCCCCCTTGGCTAGGGGATGGCAAGTTCTGGAGCAAAAGTCTTCAGCACTACTGTCAGGTCCATAGCCTTGGCAGTATTCATTGCCTCCAAACACTTCTTGATATCATGTGGAGTGAATAGAATTAGATGCAAACTGGTATCTGTGATGCTGGGGACCACTGGAGGAGGCTGAGATGGATCATCCACTCGGCACTTCTGGCTGAAGATTGTTCTAAATGCTTCAGCTTTATTGTTTGCACTGAAGTGCTGCACTCCCCCATCATTGAGGATTGGGAGCCTCCCCCTCCTCCTCCAGTGAGTTATTTAATTGTCCACCATCATTTACAATTGGATATGGTAGGACAGCACAGATTAGATCTGATTTGTTGGTTGCAGGATCACTTAGTTCTATCTATCACTTGCCATTTAAGCTACTTGGCATGCAAGTAGTCTCATTTTCTAGCTTCACCAGGTTGACTAGGTATGCCTAGTGCTGCTCCTGGCATGACTTCCTGCACTCTCCATTAAACTAGTGTTGATACCCTGGCTTGATAGTAATGGTTGAGTGGGAAATATGCCAGGCCATAAAGTTGCAGATTGTGCTGGAATATAAATCTGCTGCTGATGATGGCCAACAGTGCCTCATGGATGCCCAGTCTTGAGCTATTAGATCTGTTCAAAGTCTATCCAATTTTGCATGGTGATAGGCACAACACAATGGAGGGTATCCTTAATGTGAAGAAGGGATTTTGTCTCTATGAGAACAGTATGGTGGTCACTCATATCAATACTGTCAAGGACAGCTACATTTGAGCAGGCAGGTGAGGTCAAATATGTTTAATCTTCCTGTTGGTTCCATCACTACCTGCTGCAGACTGAATGTAGTAGCTGTGTCCTTTAAGACTTAATCAGCTCAGTCAGTAATGGTGATGCCAAGCCATTTAGGTGGTGGACATTTAAATCACCCACCCACAGTTAGTTCACTGTGTGTCCTTGCCATTATCAGTTCTTTCTCCTAGTCTTATTCAACTTGGAGGAGTGCTGACTCATCAGCCAAGAGGATGGGAGGTCATAGGCTAGGAATACTGCAGTGAGTAACTCACCTCCTGACTCCCAAAACCCTGTCCACCATCTACAAGGCACAAGTTAGGAGTGTGATGGAATACTCCCCACTTGCTTGAATGGGTGCAGCTCCAACAACACTCAAGAAGTTTGACACCATCCAGGGAAAAGCAGCCCGCTTGATTGGCATCGTATCCACAAACATTTACTCTCTCCAGCACCAATGTTCAGCAGTAGCAGCAATGTCCTATCTACAACGTGAACTGGAGAACTTCACCAAGGCTCCTTAGACAGCATCTTCCAAACCAATGACCACTTCCATCTAGAAAGACAGGAGCAGCAGATACATGTGGACACCACCATCCGCAAGTTTCTCTCCAAGACACTCACCATCCTGACATGGAAATATTCCCAAGTACAACTAGGGGCATGCAATAATTGGCTGGCCAGAAATGCCCCTTCCCAGGGATGAAATGAAAAAGTGTTTTCATGCAGATATTTGATCTGATGCTATGAGACTTCAGGGAGTCTGGAGTCACTGTTTATGATTCCTAATAAGGCAACTTACTCCTTACCGTTGCACTACCAACTCTGCTGGATCTGTCCTGTTGATGGGACAAGACATTCACAGGGATGGTGATGGTGTTGTCAGAAACATTGTAAAATATGTCAGCCTGTTGCTTGTCCAGTCTGTGAGACAGCTCTCCCAGTTTTGGCACTAGACCCCAGATGTTAGCGAGGAGGACATTGCAGAATTAGCAGGGCTGTGCTTTCAATAGCAGCTGGGTCATTGCTGTAGCACTTCCTTCCACTTACAATAAAAATAGTAAGGCCCTTTAGCCCTCATTGTTCACAACCCCTGACCCCTCCATATATTATCTGTTGATGCCACTTAATTTCACCTATTCAGGGCTATCTCCATCCACTCACTCACCCCATGGGGTCTCATGTCCCGTATGGCAAGTTCGTTAGGCCTCAATACGCTATATAAAATCTACTAATCCTACAGTTGCAATAGAATGTATAAAAAGAAGCTTTTAGAAAAGTAATTCATTCATAACTTTCCAAAGAGGTAACTGGAATAATAAATTTAGCGTTTACGTTACAAACATAGAGCATTGATTGTTATTCCTTCCCTTGTTTGATAATGAATTGATTTTGCTACAAAACATGTGAGGAGAGAATAGCATCAAACCCGTAGGCAATACCTCCGATAGATAAATCGGCCACCTGCATTCACTATCTCAATTCATAAGTGAAGGAAAGTCCTGTTGACAAGGTGCTGGTAAGTAATTGGCACTTCTGTAAATGCATTCTAGCATAAGTTAGGGTTTTCATCACAAAGAGGGAAAAGTTCAATGGAGTAAAAGTTAAAAGGAACATTCTACTTGACTGAAATATTGAATGCAAGACTCAAATGATCGGTCAGTAGTTAATGGGCCAAAGGACAACTCCAGCCTATTTATTATGCAGATAAGCTGAATGGTCACTTACCATTCTAACTTTCTGTGAGTTCCTTGATGTGATTCTGAAAGAGAAATGTATAATTGTGTCACCCTAGTTTATTAAAAAAAACTCAGGGGGACAATTTCAAATGTTTCTTAATTTAATTGCGATATTTGTATGAGTAAGTTTAATCATTGTTGAGGTGAGGAATGCCACCAGTGGATCTTCAGGTATCCAGTATCAGCACTCATTGATTCTTTGTTAGGCATCACACAGGTTATGGATGAACTAAAAGTCTGTATACTCTGCTCTAAAAATGCCTTAACTTCGTAAAAACATCCCTAATTTCAGAAGTTTTCTTTGGCTTCAGTTTGTAAGATAATCAACTCTGTGTTATGGCACAGTGCAACTGGAAATCAGACTCATTTCACCTAGAAACCTGGTCCTAACAGACAGATAAGATGTGAGCCTTGAGTTTAATTTGGATTCTATCTGGTTCTGAGCTAAAAGGAGAATGTGCACTTTGTTGTCCATTCCGCTTTATTACAGAGTTGTTGATATTATAAACATTATAAGCAGAGTCATTTAGAGGTCATGCATCCTCAAAACAGGAATCCTATCATTTTGCCAAATTATTTAACACAAAAACACAGGGGTTTTCTCCAAAGATCAGCTCATAACATGACATTAAGTTAATTTAAGCTTGAAAACTTCAGTTGCATATAAAATGAACCAAAACAAGCTACTGGACAACTGTGGGATCCACATGCATTGAAAATTTACCCCCTAAGAGGATTTCAGTGTTGTCTTTGGCTAAGTTTCTTGACTTTTTTTAGAGCAACAAGAAACTAACATTTGGTAACATTCACAAGGGGCTATAATGTTATAGCAGTTTTCAAACAGAATTATGTGCGCTCTAATCCCAGTTGAAGTGGAGCCACATCCTTGCATTTTGTATCTTATCAATAGTGGTTTGAGTTGCAAACAAGTCATAAAACAGCAACTTGCAAATACACTGTGATTCAAAAAGGATCATGTAACCATAAAGGAATTTTCTAAAATTCTTTACCACCCCTCAAGTGCAGTCATGGAGAGTTTCTGATACCAGCAGAATCCCTTTCAAGGCCACAAGTGAAAGAAAAAATGAAAACAGGAAGTAACCTTTCAGCTTATCCTCGTTGAACACATAAGATGGAGTTGCCTGTCAACTTGATGCATTTTCAATGAAGATAAAATAGCCCCTTAGAAAACCAATGCACTTTTGTTCTTCAAACTCATCAGCTCACAACTTACCACTTTCACTTTTGCTGCATGTCGTCCCATCCTCTTTGAGATGGAAACCTTCCTTGCACGCACATTTGTAACTCCCTGGTGTGTTGAGGCAAATGTGAGAACATACTGTTCCATTGCTTTTGGCACATTCATCAATATCTATTAAATCAACACGTAAAACATAACAGTCAGTGGGTTAAAGAAAATTGAAATTAAGTTGCTTTAATTTTTTTTTCAGTTTTCTTTGTGGCTTAAGTGATTAAGATCATGGAAGCTGAAACCCATGAACTGGCAATTTCCCAGGATTTGATTCCTGGTTCATGGTAAGTTAGCAGCGCTGAGCCAAAATAGTATGAAAGGTGCTACAAGTAACTTCAGAGTCCTTTTGTTAATGTGAAAATTTGGCTTGATTCTTATTGTTGATTATTGCCCAGTTATGCATATTGAATGATCCATTTCAGCTCTCATCCATCCTCCACTCAATATGTAGGCAGGCCACAATTCTGCCCATGGTTTGGTTTAAGATATGGACAATTGATATCTGAATGAGCTGAATCTTATAAATAGTAGACAGCTTGGGTAGCAATGGAGTAGTTATCCCTCGACATAATACATGTATGACTAGGAATTTCAACAGAAAATAGGCAGAGCCAGAGATGGGCAATGTTTTGGAGGTGGAAGAATTGATTTGAACATGTAAATTAGGAGCAGAAGTAGGTTGTTTGGATCCTCAAGCCTGCTCTGCCATTTAGTATGATCATGGCTGACCTGATTGTGGCCTAACGTCCACTTTCCTGTCTATCCCCCATACCTTTTGACTCTTCTGTCTACCACAATCACTTTAACTAGCCTGAAAAATAATCAATGATTCAGCCTTTAATATCTTCTCAGGAAGTGAACTCTATAGGCAAACACACTCCCTGACGTCCTTCTTCCTCATCGAACATTTTATCATCAGAAACTGGAGAAGAAGTCTATGATCTCCAGTCATCAGTTTTGCATGCAGACGACCCATACAATTCCTTTGCTGGCTTTCCTGCCTGCCCTCACCTATCCACAATTTTCTATAGGGCAGGTGAGGTTTAGTGTCCTAAATTTGCTGTTGTGAAACTCTCCCTTTTACTGTAAACATAGAAGCTTTTCAAATCTGTTTTGTTTTTTACATTCCTTGCTCATTTTCTTTCATATCTTTTTATTTCATTCTTGATTTCTTGGTCATCCTTTGCTGAATTCTGAATTCTCTCAATCCTTAAGCTTCTTTTTCTTATTCTTTGTACACCATAAGTTTTTCCTTTAATAATACTATCTTTATCACCTATTGTTAGCTACAGTCAGGCCACTTTTCCTTTTTTTTGTTTCTTACAGGACGGTATATTTATTGAGTATTATGGATTACATCTTTAAATATTTGTCATTGCCTATCTACTGTCAAATCATGAATCTTGGAAAATGCTTTCCTCATTTTGAGGGACTGATGATAATGATGACTGTACTAATATTTAATGTATTTTTCTAATTTACCTCAATTATCTCAGCCCTTGTAACTATGTATCTCAAACTGAATCGGGTACATACCATAAATGAATGTCCCTGGTGCATTTACTTCAAACTAGATAATAATCAGCCAACTTATTTTGGATGCAACATATAGCTATTCAGAAATTATAAGCTTGATATATTTCATGAATTCCATTAACAGGGTTTGCAGGTGTGGGTAAAGGCATGAAGATGTTCATTGGAAGGTGCTTGACATTGTGGAGTTTGTACCAGTAGCAAGGGTGAGAATTGGCATGAATTCAATGGTTGAAGTGGTGAAACTGACCAATACAATATGGCTTCTCTCTGTTCCTGTGTTTCACGCGATCAAAGTAATATCCCAGGTAACATGTACACAGCACTCTGCCAAAATTATCTGTGCACTGTTGTTCACATGGAGCCCCTGAGCAGACATCATAATCTGGAACAGAAACAAAAATATAGTTATGATTGAATGCAACGAAAAATATCACAGAAAACTCAGAGTTTCAAGATTCATATATGCTGGAAAAGAACCACTTGTGAATATCCCAGCCTGCTCAGATTTGGTACGCCAGCATTTAAAATAAATGGCAATGATTTTCTTTAATAAACGTAAGAAATTAACAAATCCAAGTTTGTCTATGGTAAGCTTGAAGGTACTGCAAGTAGTAAGGAGGAATGCAATTATTCTTAGAGGATTCTGAAATTGGCAGACTTGACCAACTGAAACTAAGCACAGGTCAATAGAGACAAATTTGAACAATTCATGTCAAAGCACAAACCAAGGTAGGGAGTAGGGGATTTACAGTCCAATCCTTACACAGCATTGGTCCTGCAGGAATCATTTGGGCTGTCTGGGTGAATTTTCCCATTTGTCCTTGGGCCCAAAGTGGGCACGAGTGGACCAACTACGAATCTTACATCCCACCTTATTTTCATCACCATTACACAGCTGTGTTGTATGCTGCACAGAGCAGGTTACTCCAACAAAAAAGAAATAATTGTGATTTTGTGATTCCAGAAGGTGCTCCTTTAATTCACACAGAAGTCTTCTCAGCCACAAATGGTCCGTCCAAATACATCTTATGATGTTTGCCTACTTTAGATCTCTTTTGTGCCTTGGGTTCTGCTATCAATGTGTCAGTTTAACCCAGCACCCATGGTCACCTCCTCTTTTGTTTTGTATGTTCTACTTAGTTTAGCTTTATAATGATAGGGACACGGATAGTCTTGCTCCCTCCCTAAAACAATGCTTACAGCTCTCCATAAGGATCAAAGAGGCTGCCACTCTGCTATGATTGGAACGATCGCATTGAATTTGAGATCCTTGATTAGGGTTGTTAACCTGGGCCAATCAGGAAGCCCTGGCTGACAGATATAAACAGGAGATTTAGAGGGTTTCTGCAGTTTAGGGACTGGCTTGGAGCTGACTGGTCAGATCTGATCCGATCCTGTGTACATGTGAATACTTGGTGACTTGGTGACTTGGTGACTTGGTGACTTGGTGACTTGGT